CAAGTTATCTGGGTCATGATGTTACATATAGCATCTCAGAACTTGGGGACTCATTAGCAATGTATCCTTCACAGCTGTAGGCATGATCAGTTAATCAGAATAATTTCTAGAGGGGTGTTTAATTTATCCAGGAAGAGTCATGGTACTGCCTCAAGGCGAGAGCCATACAGCTTGAACAAAAAGAACAAGCGATTCTTTCCAAAAAATGGAGCAGAATGAAACCAGTTCCTCAAATGCTGTGTGAGAGAGACACATAATATAGAACACTTAGGTTAAAAGTATAGAGCCAACAAGACAAATAAGAACCTTCCTCAGGGTTTATGAGAAAGCGGGAAGACAACTGTTTACAAATTATATTACAAGGAAACAAATCCTTTACAACACTTTTATTTAGGTGAACTTTGAACTTCTGATAATGCAAAATAAGAACTAGTTACAAATGCCTATGAGGTCCAAAAGGCAAGAAGCAGTTGAACTACCAGGACAGAGTGGGTTCGACATCAGGGTAGAACAGAAAATGATTAGGAGCTGGAAGAACATAGGAGAGTTGTCCAGACCTGACCAAATCTGAGAGGATTCTTTTTATGTCTTGGGTTTCAGGATTCTCATAAAATCTTTCAGGAAGAGAATCCAGTTGTTGCTATTGTGTGTATTTGTTAATAAATATTTATATGGTATTTAGAATTATTTAATGAGTTTTCTAAATAATAACTTATTTAATCTTTTTTTACAGTCATATGGGATGCTGTTGGCATCATTTATAGATAAAGAAACTCGAGGTATAATTTGGCCAAGAACTTAGAGCAAGGAGCAATAGAACTGGGATTGAAAATTGGGTGGTCTGGTGTTGGAGTTTGGATCTTGAATGTACCTCAAAGTTCCAATGTTTAAAGCTTGGGACATGATTGGGAGGTGGTGGAATCTTTAGGAGGTGAGACCTAGTAGAAGGACACAAGGTCATTGGGGGGCATGTCTTTGAAGGGAATATTGGGCCCATGGCCCCTTCCTGTCTCTGCTTCCAGGCTGCCCTGGGGTAAATAACCCTCCTTGGACACACAATCCTGCTGTGATGTATTATGCCGCAACAGGACCAAGTAACCATGGACCGAAAACTCTCAAATGTGAACCAAAATAAACATTTCTTCTTTTAAATTAATTTATCTCAGGTATTTTTCAGAAGAGTAGAAAGTTATCTAACACATAACATCTAGTTACCATCTGAATAATCCTACTCATAGGTATATACCCAACAAAAATGAAAACGTGCACACAAAAACTTGTGTATTAATGTTCATGGTGGCATTATTCATAATGAAACTGGAGTTTTTCAGCTTCTGCTGGAAGCAGGATTTGCATAAGCTATAGGTCTCTGCAGCTGAGAAAGCTCGTTTAGTGTTAGCAGCTAATCAAAGTGGGGAGTACCTGCCGGCATCAGCTCTGAGGATTGCAGCTGGCAAAGTTGGATTCTTCTCCACAGGAGAGGTATAAAGCAGCTCTTAATGGTGGGCTGTCCCTCCAGTGTCACAGCAGATACCAACAGATCACTGCCCATTTCTTCTCTCCAGGTTCTAGTCTAGTGAATTCAAAGAATAAAATCCACAGATGATGAAGAGTGAGTGTAAAAAAGTAGGATTTATTTAAGTGGGAAGAAAAGAGACAGAGTTCCCACAGTGAGAGGGGAGGGGACGGGGCTGCAGCTTGAGCTGCTAGTGTAAGGTTTTATCTAGTTCTTGGGTCAATACTATTGTTCCAAACTTATGCTAATTCACATTTGAAAAAAGGTACTGATGCTATTGGTCCAAATTTATGCTAATCAGTTCTTGGAAAGTATCACTGCTATTGGTTAACCATGGAGTAACTTTCTTGTAATCTCCATTCAGATCTGCCCCCAATTCCATTTTCTCAGTGCTCATCTGGCCCAGGCAAGACCATTAAGGGGGTAACAGGGCAGTTTTCCTTGGCTCCCCTTGTCTGCTTAGCTGCATCTCGGGCCTGTGCTGGCATGGTGGGCCCCATGCAGCCATGGCCTGTACTTGCCTTTCATGCTCCCGACTGCCTGAACTGCTGCTCTGGGACAAGGGCTTGGCTTCAATAATAGCCCCCAAAGAAGTCATAACCCAAATGTCCATCCAGATATGAATGGATAAACAAATATGACATAGTCATACACAATGGAGTATATTCAGTTATGAACAGGAATGAAGTGATGATAAATATGTCAAAGTAGATGAATCTTGAAAACATTATGTTAAATGAAAGCCACCTGTCAAAAAAGGACCACATAGTGTATGATTTTATTCATACAAAATATCCCAAATTAGCAAATCCAAAGAGACCAGAAGTAGGTTAGTGGTTGTTCGGAGTGGGAAGGATGGCACATGAGTAAGGAGATAATGAATATGGAAATAATATCGGGGAGTCTGATTCAAGACTCTGGGCTCTCAACCTTGGGTCATGTCATCTTTCTTGAGCTCTCAAACTTACTGACTAGAATTAATTGTTTGGATATTATTAGACACTCATGGTTTTGGAATTCATATGGAACAAAGTCAAAAGTTCCCAGGCAAAAAGAAGCCTTGATGAATGAAGTTCAATAATAAAAGAGTGAGTAAGCACTTTATAAGAGGTTTCAGCATCTGCTTGCTGTGTTTCATCCTATACCCTTCCCTGCATATGGAAAAAAGCCTCTTTTCTCTTATTACTATTGAACAGCACAGGAAAAAAAAATCAGAGAAAAACGTCAGGGAGAGATTCCAGGAGGGGTCCATTACATTGCTGCTCTGTTAACCTTTCAGAAATAGCTAAATAAAGGAAGTCATGCTAAAATTCTGAGAAAAACATCAGTTAAGAATGGAACACAGATACTTTAAAAACCAAAAAGTCAAAAGCTTATTTTTCTTGCCTTTGTAAAAAATTCTTGCCACTGATTTCTTTTAGTGGGTTTCACCTTGGCATATTTACACATGCATGTAACATTTTGATCATCTCCTCCTTTCCATCACTCACTTTTCCCCTCCCCTCCCCACTTCACTAATAGTCTCACTTATACATTCATGTCATCTCCTCCATATGAGATAAAACATTCAATACTTGTCTTTTTGAGCCTGACTTATTTCAGTGATGATCTATTTTCATTCATTTTCCTGCACATGACAGGATTTCATTCTTTTTAATGATGGAATAATACTTTATTGTGTATACATGCCACATTTTCTTTATCCATTCATCTGTTGACAGGCCTCAAGGATTATTCCATAAATTGGAATCGTTACGGGATAAATATGAATATACAGGTATCTGTGTAGTATGCTGACTTTAATTCTTTTGAGTAAATACCAAGAGGTGTTATAGCTGGATCATATAGTAGTTCTATTTGTAGTTTTTTGAGGAACATCAATACTGATTTCTGTAATGGCTATACTAATTTATTCCCACTGAGTGTATAAAAATTCCTTTTTCCCTCATCCTCCCCAGCATTTATTGTAATTTGTATTCTTAATGACTATCATTCTGATTGGGATGAGATAGGAGTTCAATGTATTTTTTAAAGTTTTTTTTAATAGTTCAATGTATTTTTTAAAGTTTTTTTTTGGTGCACTATAATTATACAAAATCGTGAGATTCGTTGTGATATATTTGTATATGTAAATAATTAATTTGGTCAACTTCATTGCCTAGGACCTCCCCTTTCTCTCGTTTCCTCCCTACTTCATCCTCATATTCTGTTCTGCTGGTCTTTCTTTTATTTTCATGAAAATTCCTCTCCCTTTTTTCTCTCTAGCTTCCAAGAGAAAACATAGGACCTTTGGCATCTGAGTCTGCCTGATCTCACTTAATATGCTATTTTCCAGTTCCGCCCATTTACTTGCAAATAACAATTCCTTTTTTATGGTAATATAAAACTGCATTGTGTGTGTATATATATATATATATATAATATTTTCTTTGTCTATTCACCCACTGATGTGCACCTAGGCAGGTTCCACAACTTGGCTATTGTAAATTGCACTTCTATAAAATTGGGTAGGCATATATTGCTGTAGTATGCTAACTTTAGTTCTTTTGGATAAATACTCAGAAGTGATATAGCTGGATTATATGGTGGTTCCATTTCTAGTCTTTTGAGAACCTACATACTGATCATAGTGGTTGTACTAACTTACATCATTGCCAATAGCGTATGTGTTCCTTTATCCCCACATCCTCACCAGCATGAATTATTATTTATATTCTTGATAGCCATCCTAACTGGAGTGAGATTTAAATCTCAGTGTAGTTTTAAAATACAAATGACCAAAAAATATATGAAAAAATGTCATATTCTTAGCAATCAGGAAAATGCAAATAAAAAAATACATATCCTCATGTCTTGCCACTTTAAGATCCTGGCCAACAAATAGATGTGAAGGGCCCAAAGTGCTAAGGACTTTGGTGTAGCATATATAACTTTCTAAGATGATCAAGGCACTTGGTTCTTTCATGAGAATAGTTTCAGGCTGTAAGTCATCATCTCACCATTACCACAACCTTCTCTAGTTTACCTGGGTTTCATCTGTATAGCTATCAATCACAAGTAGGACGTTGAAAAATCATACACCTTCATTTTTACTTGCTTTCCAAGGAAAGGGTTTAATCTCCCAGATTTTAATTCCAAAGCTTTCAAAAATCTTTTACTTGGAAATTTAACTTCATCTATGGTAATAACACTAATTGTAGCGAATGCCTAAAATTGCAGGTTCCTCAGTCAGCAATTCCTTAAATTCTTTCTTTTTTACCACCAGATGGTGCTACTTCCTTTCATTTCCTAAAGACAGCCAGTTCATCTGGAAGGGAATTTTTTTACAGTGAGTTTTAAGTAACCTGGGTTAATATTCAAGTCTCAATATTCTGCTCTTCAAGACTTTGTGATGCAATAGGAATTTTGAAATTGGAAACCCAGTACTGGTAGTTGGAGAGCTAGTTGCAACACAGCCTGATGTTTCAGTTCCTTTTGTGTATTTAAACCAGAAGTAAGTCCAGGCAATTATAGGTAGGCTGGTTATAGAAACTACAATCAACAGAGCCTCCAACCTTCTATTTCTTGGTGCTCTATTCTTCAAAGATGTAGAAGTAAGTGTATTTCCTCATCACATAAATACTGCTTCATTTAAAAAAATAACCCACAATGATCTTAGAGCCATTATTTAGTCTTTAATAAAAATTTATAAAGATTTAGCCATAATTTTTTCTAACCATGAGGTAGAAAGGATAGTAATATTTATCTTGAACCTAAAAGCAACCTTGGAAAAGAAAGCTTAAATTAGGATGGGGCAGGTGCATGGGTATGTGAATCATGTTCATGAGGCTGTAACAGAGGAAGGTCAAATCTTCCATTTACTCTTCTACATTCTTGGTTCCTTTGAAATTAGATAGGCAAAAGACAAATTTTGACCAATGAAATACTATTTCATGTAAGGGTACCATTTCCAGGCTGAGGAGTGAGAAACTCAGGCAAATTTCTCAAGTTTGTGTCTCTGTGTAGAATACTAAGGAAGCTCAATGCTCAGGGTGGTGCAGTAACAAGATGGTAGCTCCATTGGCCTGGGTCTCTGAGTGACTTCATGGAACAGAAAGTTCTGTTGACTCTTGTGGGAGACGTAATGTGAACAAAAATAAACTTCTGTTGTATTAAGCTACTATATTTTAGGACTATGAATAAAGCCAGCTTCCTCTCTGCAATATTATGCTGTTCTCTCATGCCATTCCTAATGGATATGTTACTTGATTCAGATTATTTGCCTTTGGAGTTTCTGGTAGCATGTCGATTTTAAGTCACTCTGTATCATTTGTATTATGTATTGGTTTTAAATCCTTGACTTTTATTTTCCTTTTTATCAGGATTAATTGGAAACAATTTAAGAAAAGGCATTTTAGCAGGCATTTCCTAGATAGAATTGGCAGGAGTCCCAGAAATGTCATTTTATAATATTATATAAATTTCACAAACATCACTTTATTCATCTCTAAAATGGGAGTGATACTAAATTTCATATGAGGATTGATTTCATCAATAAATATATTTTGAGTAACATTTGGAAAAGTAATAATATAATTTTTGCTGCCTTCCTAAGCTCATGGTATTTATGTTGGTTTTAAGAAGGCTTCCATTTGTGTAGGAAGAATTTAAAATTTGTGATATGCAGAACGCAAATAGAAATAATAAATAAAATTTCTGCACATATAAATGTGGGTTTCTATGTCAAGACAATAACAGTGTAAGCTTGTAGAACTCAGATAAACCCAGCTCTCCACTGATGGAAGGATGTCACCCCTTCTACCTGTGGCTGTCAGACCCTGTATAGGGTAACATCTGCTTCTTTTTGATCTGAGTTATGGAAATAAGAAGAGAAAAGAGAGAGAGAGAGAGAGAGAGAGAGAGAGAGAGAGAGAGAGAGAGAGAGAGAGAGAGAAGCAGATCTTTCCCTGTGCAGTTTTCTCTCTATGGATCTTTTTTTTTTGGCTCTGTTATTCAATTAAGTGAGAGAACACAGGGAGTGATGAGGTATACTTTCACCCTCCTACTCAATCTTTGAGACTCTGAAAGGAAGCAAATATGCTGGCTGTAGTGTGCCAATATGGAGCACAGTCACATAAAAATGAACTATGATCAGGCAGAAGAAGGCCTGGAGATCTGTTTTTCTTGGCAGCCTTTGAGCCTGTGGTATAGACTGACTTCAGGATACTGAGCAGCAGTTGGAGAGCTTGCTGGAGGGAGTCTCCACAGCATTTTAAAGAGATAGGTATTTTAGAAGAGATTCACCTTACATTGGAGGCACAAGCAGATTCAGGGCAGTTAGCTGGACCAGTAGAAGGTAGTGCAGAACACCAGGTTATCACTGAGGTCAGAAAAACAAAATTACAGTCATACCAGACTCAAACTTCAGTCTTAAATATTATCAGGGTAAGTAACAGCATCCAGGTGGATAAAGGGCATTGAATCAAAACCTGAGGCCGAGGACATGATACTCAAGACCACTTACTTTTTCCTGTTGCCAGGAGGTTTATTAGCTCTGCCCACTTGCCCCACATTGGACATATCCAATGGACACATTGGACATACCTCTTGGAAGAAGAGGTAGAAGAACGGAGGAGACCATTCTTCTTTGAGAGCCAGAATTTTTATTTCAGAAAAAAAGAACATTTTTCAAATGTTAGGTTGGATTAAATTTAAACATAATTGGACATTTAGTTAACTTTTTCCTACTCAGATATGGAGGATTTAAATTGAAGGATGAAGTAGTTAGAAACAACATAAATAAATTACATTTTATGCATTCTAGTATGAGTTAAACTTATGACCTTGCTATACATACAAAAGAACACAGATGTTCCATAAATGACTTTCACATAAGTTCTTAATAAATGTTCATGTTAACTTAAAACTTGCAGAATACCTGACATTTCCTTTTGAATATTTAGGAAACATCAAATTCAGTATGTTCAGTAAAGAATTCTTGATTACTCACACTTCGTATTTATTTCTTCACTGTTTCTTACATTTAAAAAAAATGGCCTCACCATTTTGCTATTTTACTCAGCATTTAAGTCTTTTCTTTCATCTCTATATTGAATCCAGCAGGAAATCTGTTATATCTCTTACCAAATACATGTTGAGTGTTCTGTTCTCTGCCTCTCCATTATTTAAACTTAATAAAAAACCAAATGCATTTCTGCATTTAGCATCCTGTCTCCTGGGCATTCTAATTTTTCACCAAGAGGCTAATGTGGTCTTTTAAAAACATAAAATAAATCTTTTCAATCTCCTGCTTAAAATGCTTTTGATGACTTTCTATTGTTCTTAAAAACCTAAATCCATTACTTTCCTGAACCACGCCCTGTGTGGTTTGATCTCTGATTGTCTAACTCCATCTCCCACCACTTTCTTCCTCTCCTGACAGCTGCAGGCAACAGGCCCTCTTCATATTTATCAGTTATGCCAGGACTTTTGCATGTGTTCTGTCTGGAATTCTCTTTCTCCAGATCTCGGCTCCTTTACAGCCTTCAGAGATCAACTCAGACATCAGAAAGGCTTTCCTGACTATTTTTCTTATTCTTTATCATATGCTTACCTCCATGATAACATTTATCACTATCTATGACTTTTGATTTTTTAAAAATTGTTACCTGTTGTTTATAAGGTTTCCCTGGTGGACTGTAAGCTCCCTGGGAGCAGGAATCTTGTCTATTCACTCTTGTATTCCCACTACCTAAAATCTTTACAGTTACATAGAAAAGGTCAATAAATATTTGCTGAAAGAAAAGAGGAAGAGAAAAAACAAAACAGAAGAAAGGAAGGGAAGAGGTAAGGACAGAGTGAAAGTCGTCAAGTCTAAACCATTAATAAGGTTCATTATAAGGAATGAGACGTATCTTAACCATTTTTTCTATATGTCAAGAATGAACTACTTATTATTCATAATGAGATTAGCATTAATTTACTTTTTATAATCATTATGTTTCTGAACCAATTGGCACAAGGAATTTATAAAACTTTGTCAAACATTGTTTTACTAAATTTGAAACACAACTGCAGCATATAGTAGTGCTATTAGTCAAGTTTTTCTAGCTTTCTGCCTTCAGATAAGATAAGATTATGTTTTGGGTTATATCTTTTTTCATTATCTGGGGCCATGTGGATAAGTTCTAGCTAACATATTCTGATGAAATTGGTGTATGTTTCTTTCAAGCTGGAATCTATGTTTGCTGGTACAAAACCTTCCAAAGTGTCTTTCTTCAGATAAAGTTATCATCATGTTCCTTTTTTCCATTATATATACATATTGACATATAAATATAAATATGTATACTAATACACATATGTATACTAATACATATATAAACACTTAAGAATTTTCCCCAATTATTTATTAAATAGTGCTGAATGTATGTATTGTTTGTTTCATTTTATAAAATCATTGCTTCAACATGTCTTGGAAATTTTTATCAACTCTATTTTTTTATCAACTCTTCCGCATCCATTTGTCCCACAATTTGCTGTGTATTAGACACTCTTCCGTGTGCTTGGGATATATCAGTGAGGAAAACAGAAAATTTACCCCTAAACTTTCATTTCATATCATAAATACAATTATACAGTGTTTTTGGAGATAATAAATGTCATGGAAAAGAGAAAAAGTAGAGCAGGGTAAGGGAGAATCAAAATCTGGGATTGGAAGAAGACCTCCAATGGAGAGTTCAATACAAGAAGTCCTTGACATATAATGCTTTGACTTTCAGATTCCTTCCTTCCTTCCTTCCTTCCTTCCTTCCTTCCTTCCTTCCTTCCTTCCTTCCTTCCTTCCTTTTTCTTTTCTTTTTGAGAAAAAGGAGAAAGTGGTGTTATTTCTTTGATAGCAGATGAAAATACACAGTGGACACCAGACTTTTGAGGCAGTGATTCTGCCTGCTTGTGGGAACAGTGTGGTTTGAAAGAGGGAATACCAAGGCTATACTCCAGCTGTGCCTTATCAGTAGTCATAATTCATTTGTGGCCTTGAGAGAGAGAGTCATTTCTCAGAGTTGCTGGTACCAGTTCCAATGTCTGGATTCCTTCATTTCTGTGGCCCAGGAACTGAAGGACAAATAACTCATCCCGTTGTCATTTCTCTCTTCCTGATCTTTTGTCAAAAGGGATGAAGAGGTGATTCTGATCTTGGTTAAGACCTGTTTTTTCATAACTATGACATACCCAGCTATCTGCTTGCTGGTCATTGTCCATGAACTTGCTCCCATAAGTAAAAAGTCTCAGTCCAGTTTCATGTTGGATCAGAGAAGTCCAACCTGTTTTCGAGTATACCTCTAGCAGAGCAGGTTCATCTTTCTTTCCTGATTGTCAAGTGAAAGGGTTTCAGACATTCAGTCAATGGTTGGCCAAATTCCATAGTTCTGGGCCCAATGTGAGGCAGAACATCATGGCAGAAAGGCATGCTGGAGGAAAGCAGCACAGGACGTGACAACCAGGAAACAGAGATGCAGATTTTTCAATTTTATTATGATGGAGCAATAGTGACATGCACTCAGTAGAAGCCATACTTAGAATTTTGAATTTTGGGCTTTCCCCAGGCTAGCTG